ACGGAGCATGCTTCCTCTTTGACAAACCGCATAAGTCCCTCGGCTACAAAGCTGCTTAGCACCTGAGCTTGGCGAGCCCTCGGGCATGCAGAGAAGAGGGGCACAAAGCATTAGAACTGCAGGAAGAGAAGATGTACTACTTACAGCACCACTGTGTCTATCAGCTGGTTTTTTTGTTGTTGTTGTTGTTTTGCTCACATTGACCGGAGACCCGAAGGAAAATCAAAATCAGGATTAGTGTTTTGAGGTGTCATCAGATCATCATGTCAAGGTAAAACACGTGTGTAGCTTCTTTTCTGGGGGCCTTTATGAGAACAGTAGAATAGAAAAAAGTCTCATTTGAGCCTTTCACTCAAGGTAAGTGGTTTTGTATACTCATTGTTCAATGCACTGTGATGGGTTAGGGTCAGAGCACAGCAGGCGGAGGTGTTTTCTTTTGTTTTTTTCTGCGCTCATGATTCAGTCAGTGTCGCTTAATGGGGCTGTCATGCCTCAAGTTTGGTTCAAATCCAATTAGCCCATCTCACTTTCTGACCTGACTGGCTGCCCTCAGACACTCCACATGTAGAGTGAGGGGGCACTTTTTTCTTTTCACTCTCCAAATTGAAACAGTCTAATACGTTTGAATATCAAAAAACTTCAATCCACAACTTCTACGATTCACTTAGCAGACGCTTTTATCCAAAGCGACGTACATCAGAGAGTAAGAACAACACAAGCAAGGATCTAGAAAAAAGGGAACAATGTGAGTAAGAGCAAACGATCAGCTTTGAGTCTGATTGGACACACAGGTGCTGACAGGAAGTGACCAGAGGCAAACACAACATTGAGGGCAGTTCTTGAGAGCTCTAATCAGTATAGAAACCATCTTATAAGTCGTCGTTATCAAACAAAAACCATCGTCATTACCATCATCATCATCAATGATATTGAGTTTGGTAGTTCATTCCACCACCAGGGGGCAACAGAAGAGAATCTCACACACACACAAACATAACATGTATGTACTTTCATTCATAGGTATGTACGTTTTGTCTGTCATTTTCGTTAATTTCTTCGTCATAGGTGTAGTTTTGTCATAGTCAGGCACCTGTCTCTGTGGCTCAGGAGATAGAGGGAGGACTTGGAGTCCACAGATCGTGGGTTTGGACCTTATTAGGACACAATGAATTTTAAAGGTCTCGGTCCAAAGGAAAGACTCAAGAGGTTTTAGGAACATAGTCAAGCACCTGTCTCTGTTGCTCTGGAGTGCTCAGTCATGCCTCATCTAAAATAATGTTTTGTACATTATTATAATAGCCAGACTTTGATTATAGATAAAGGTTGGGGGGCTTTCAGCTGCAGTCTTAACACAGTGGGTGATCTTAAACCTTGCTGTGCCTGACCAATCAGAGACATTCAGGGCTGCATGCCCTGTTCTCCAAAGTACCTGGACCTTTTTATAGAGGTAGATATTTTACCCCAGAACTGGTAGAAAGGCTGCAAAGCGTCATGGCTGTATTTCCAGTCAGAGGGTACACCTCTTTACAGTTGCCCTGCGGCACATGCGATTATTCTGCAAACTGTGTTTGAAAAAAAAAAATAAAAAGACTGTGTGCCACTAACATGATTAGTAGCCAAAGAGGATTAGTGTAAGCCACACTCTTTCTGATGTTGGAGCCCAACACACACACTCACTGATACTGTGTACTAGCACTTGTGTTGTTTGATTTATGAGTCATTAGTGTTTTTTTCTTCGGTACTTAAGACTGTCTTGACATTAAAAAAGGAATGACTTGGATCCATGAGTATTCACGGTTGTTACCATGTGTTCACTGTTCAGGCGTTGCTGCAGACCCACGATGTCGTCGCCCATGAGGTGTACAGCGACGAGGCACTGAGGGTGACGCCCCCGCCCACTTCCCCCTACCTGAACGGAGACTCTCCAGACAGCACCAACGGAGACATGGACCTGGAGAATGTCACCAGGGTCCGCCTCGTCCAGTTCCAGAAGAACACTGATGAGCCAATGGTGTGTACACAGAAACAAGCTTTTAGATGTGTGTGCATTGAAACGCTCTCTTCATGAAAACCCTCTGACCCTGTGTGTGTCTGTTCTTTCCAGGGCATTACTCTGAAAATGAATGAACTTAACCACTGCATTGTGGCTCGCATCATGCACGGCGGAATGATTCATCGACAAGGTATGCTCATTGAACGTTGTAGTGTAACTCACCCTGGAGCCATCTGAAATAACCCCTCCTGGCGTTGCCGTGTCAACAGCCTCATTTGTAGCGTTTATTCCTTCATTCTTTCCTCGCTTCAGGGACTCTGCACGTCGGAGACGAGATCCGGGAGATTAACGGCATCAGCGTCGCCAATCAGACGGTGGAACAGCTCCAGAAGATGCTGGTGAGACACAGATCAGACATTTAGACTTTGCACATCCAGTATTCATAATCAGTATGAATGTACTGGTTCTTACAAAGTGGGAGGAGTCAAAGGTCTAACATGCATTTTCACAGAGGGAGATGAGGGGGAGCATCACCTTCAAGATCGTTCCCAGTTACCGATCCCAGTCCATGTCCTGTGAGGTAAGGAATCAAAAACGCACATTTGAACACATTTCCTGCACAGACCACGAGGGATAAAGTGATTTTTGCATTTTCTGTTGCAGAAAGAATCACCAGATGTGTCCCGACAGTCGCCGGCAAACGGTCACGCCAGCGTTACAAGCTCCATCCTGGTGGGTGTCAGCCTATAACACAAACACAAAGAAAACAGTTCACATGGTAGTTATGGGATGGTATGAACCCCTGTCATTTATCTCTCTCTCCCCCCCCCACAGGACCTGCCATCGACGATCCAGCCTAAAGGGCGTGTGGTAAGATTTGCTTCTCCTGCACTTCACAAAGACACTCCCAAACTAGATTTCTGCTCCTACTTAACAACACACTCGCAATGCATGTACACTTGTATACTCTTTTACTTCCATTACTCCTCTTTCTGTTTTTATCATAATACTCACCAATGTCGGGCCTCAGAAAAGGATCAGAGAGGATTCCTGTACTGCTGTAAAAAAAAATAGGAAGTTCACATTATTAGTCTCAGCTCCCTCTTCTCATTTATTGATTTGGATCCCTCTCATGTCGTCTCAATCACGCCCCGAGATCACACAGACGCACACACTGCAGTGAAATATTTAATCGTCAGCACCCCCTTGTGGATCCCTCATGACATCCTCCTCGTTTATACCCCCAACATTTTTCTACCGCATGATATACGTGTAAGTGTGTGTGTGTGTGATGCTCTCAACCCCATAGATCTCCAGACCGGCTATCAAGGACAAATTGTCCATCAAGGTAAGATGTCTCTAAGTGGACCCTCAGTAGACGTAGATCCCAGCTCGTCCCGCCCCCATCGCAAAGTGTGGTTCCCCATCGTAGTCGTGTATAGATCCCATGCTAGCTCTCAAGGCTGACTTTGGTAGTGGATATAAAAGTGGATATGGCCACAGGCAGAGTTGTGGTGCAGTGCTTTTCTGATCATTGTTGTCGTGCTGTGTCTGTGCCCTTTCCTGCTTCAGCTTTAATGCTCCCTCTGCTGTCTTTTAGCGCACAATTAGAAGCATCAGCACTGCATTTGATGCGGATGTTGCAGTCTTATGGGCAGCCTGGCCCATCTCATTTCTGTCCTGTTGAGCTACTCTTTCCTTCTGTTGTCAAGCGTTTTCTTTTTTTTTTGTCTCCGTGTCCGGCTCTTGCAGATTTACGTACGTGCTCAGTTCGAGTATGACCCATCCAAAGACGACCTCATCCCGTGTAAGGAGGCCGGGATCCGTTTCCGGGTGGGCGACATTATTCAGATCATCTCCAAGGACGATCACAACTGGTGGCAGGGGAAGCTGGAGAACACAAAGAACGGCACGGCGGGCCTCATCCCGTCGCCTGAGCTGCAAGAGTGGTGAGAAAAACAAAATCACTTTTAACCTGTGCAGGATTCCTGCATGCATTCATACACCCAGGCACTAAAGCAAAACAACTCCTGTCTGGATTGAACAGGCGTGTGGCGTGCATAGCGATGGAGAAGACCAAACAGGAACAACAGGCCAGCTGCACCTGGTTTGGCAAGAAGAAGAAACAGTACAAAGACAAGTACCTGGCCAAGCACAACGCAGGTAAGCCAACTGAAAGAACAGCCTCACAACAGAGTAACACAGCTAAGCTAACTATACATACAATGTAAGAATCTTTTTTAACAAATCCCCTTTGAATGTCAGGTTTGTGTAACCGCTGCACGCCTGTCTCCCTCCGACAGACCTTTCCTACTGCTGTCTCAGTTTGCTTTTTGGTTTCAGTCACTAACAGCGTTGTAATTAACAGCTTTTGACAATTTGAGTTTGTGTTGATTTTTTTTGTCTTCTCTGGTGTCTGTTTATTAACCCTCCGCTCCTCCGCCCTTTGTCCATATTTCATGCTGTCTCTTACCCAATGACATGGCTGCATGTAAGTAACTGCAGACAGCTGGCGTCAAGCCTCTGTGTTTTTTTTCTCCCTCCTCCTTATGTCTCCTTGACTTGTGAGCGATAGCCGTTTGTTTGGTTTCTGATCAGTTAGATAATGCTAATTTGATGGGATGCTAGTCAGCTTTAAATCACTCAGCTTACAAAGGTCAGTGCAGATGAGCACGTTTTAAAGCTTTCTCATCAGGCTGTTAGAAAACATTGGAAATAATAAATCTCATTTGCACTGACACGGCTGAAGTCCACCAGGCGCGAGTTATTTAAAGAGACATACACATACAAGCCTGATACAAAGTCCTGGTCTTTATCAAGTGTACAACAACATTTAAATGTATCACACATTCTTTCACATGGAGTACAATCCAGTCCCGCGTGCTTACCTAACGTCTCTCTCTCTCTCTCTCCGCAGTGTTTGACCAACTAGATCTGGTGACGTACGAGGAAGTGGTCAAACTGCCGTCGTTCAAGAGGAAAACGCTGGTGCTGCTTGGTGAGGAGACAGAAAACGTTGTGTTTGTTCATGCAGGGAGGTCAAATATGAAATAATTCAAGTCTTAAAAAAGAAATGCCTACCATGAAGTTATTTTTTTAAGTGCAGTTCCTCAAGTGTCCACTTGGGGCAAACTGCAAAGCCAAGAAATCCCTCTGTTTTCATTTCTTGAGGCAGAAACCTCGAGCAAAACCCGACTCGTGTAGAACAGCCATCCGCTGAACCTGGAATAAAGACAAACAGAGCAACAACAACAATGAATAAGATAGATTTAGGGTTGGAAATTAGCTCCTGTTGTCCCAAATACTGGTGGGTGACAGATGAATGTGCTCAATTACGCGGTACAGAGGCAGGTAGGCCAAAACAGTTGCTTTCCAACCCTGCTACAGTCAGTAATAATGTTCAACGTGTGTGTAGTATTAGCAGTAACAGGTAAGAGTGATTATAGAGCAGATCAGTCTAATATTAACATCACTGCACTGATGGTGAAACATCAGACTGGTGGAGGTCATTGGACTGTTTCAATGAGGATCTGAGTGTGGACACTTTAACCCTGTGGAACATATTGGAGATGTGGGATACTCACATTGTCAGCGCCTTCCTCCTTTTCTGACGTGGTGATGTTCTTCTCTGTTGGATGTCCTGTCGAGCATGTCACCTACAATAACAAAAGTACATCTTAGTTTTGTCTGAGCGCTTCATAGTCTGACACGTCACAAAAAGAGCCGTACTCTCTATAAACTGAGCGGCGCGATATATGAATGTATAATGAGTTCAATTCAACTGTCTCCTTTCATTCAGGTGCTCATGGAGTTGGCAGGAGGCACATCAAGAACACACTCATCACCAAACACCCCCGACCGCTTCGCCTACCCATCCCTCGTAAGAAGACACACACTCCGTCAAAACCACAATCACTTCATCTGTTCTTTCAGCTGACTTGTCCATGAATCCATGTCTCCGCTCAGACACAACACGGCCTCCCAAGAAGGACGAGGAGAACGGGAAGAACTACTACTTTGTCTCCCACGACCAGATGATGCAGGACATCAGCAACAACGACTACCTGGAGTACGGCAGCCACGAGGACGCCATGTACGGCACCAGGTGGAAACCATCAGGCAGATCCATACGCAGGGCATGATCTCCATCCTGGATGTGGAACCACAGGTGAGAAAAGATTCACGATAACACACACTGGGTATAATGAGGAAAGGAAGTCAGGACTATTAACCCCAAGAAGGGTCTTCAGTTGACCCAACAACAAGGATTATTTACAGCTGCTAGAATGTTAAACGCTCACTCTGTCGATGCACCTCAGAACAACCCTCACACTAGTTACAGATATGTTACACTCTCTCTCTCTCATCAGGCACTAAAGATCCTCAGGACGGCCGAGTTTGCTCCCTATGTCGTCTTCATCGCAGCGCCCACCATCACCCCAGGAATGACCGAGGTACCGTCACAGACTCTCTCTCTCTCTCTCTCATTGCTAGATCTATTTGCACATACTAACTCATTTCAAATGCAGCCATGCTGGCATTTAAGTCTGAATTCAGATGAATTCAAACAACAGTGTGAACATCTTATCTCTTCCCGTCACCTTTTTTTTTATTTGCTTCGCTCAAAGTTTCTCTAACTGCACGTTTTTGGATGCTTTAAGTGTGTCTGTCTTTTCTTTGGCATGCCTGTTTTTTTTTTCCATTTTCACCCAAAGGTCCCAAAGTGGTGCAGAAAACTGCCTGTGAGTACTCGGTTCAATGTTCAGTGTGAAGTATTGTAGGAGGAGGCGTGTGTGGCCTCGTCGTGTGTGTGTGTGTGTAGCTCTAGTGGTTTGTCTAGCTTTGTCCACTCTCATTCCCCGTGATTTCCTCTAAATCCTCTAATCCCTCCAAATAATCCTCTTAATTGTGTGCTGGCTCTTTGGTGCATCTTCATTTTTTGGTGTAACTTCATCTCTACTTCTGTTTTTCCCCGGAGTGAATTTGGAGAAGGGAAATTATTTAGGTCGATTTTTACCAAATAGATTAGAACTTTTGTTTCAAGCCTGCGTTGGTGGTCTGTGCAACAAGTCGTTCACTTATTAAAGGCAGCTTTGCTCCTTCCCCAATCAAACAGTTTAAATCACTTTTACAGTTACAATGTACTCATTACATGCCAAGGACAAATAGAGAGATGATCATGTCAAGAAAACTCGTAACAATCATTATCAGTACCATGACTCAAAGATAAACCGGGAAGAAACCAGTATTATAAACTATCTACCAGCTGCTGGTGATGTACATTTGATAACTGATAACTGATATACTGGGAGAAAAGAATTCTGATACCGATATATTTCTGTGATCTGTAGATCGACAGCGATACACACATGATCCCTCAGTTAAACACTTGTAGAAAAGATTTATAAGGATGACAACTGGAAAGTAACTGAGCATGAATGTGCATCAGCGCCCTCTGCTGGTGAAAGAGAACTGCTAGTGTAATACAATGAAACTCATTGGAAATAAAAATTTGACCGGTGAATAAATGTACTAGTATCGGGGTATATCAGATATAATTGGTCAATGCCGATAGTCAGGTGATATACTGAAATGATCGGTCAGGCTTTAAAAATAAAAGTTCTGCGATCTTGACGATCCTACGCCAGACCACAGACGGAGCCTTGAAGCACATCACTAAAACAAACAGAAAACATCACTGAACTGTCTTCCCTCTCGTCGCTCCCCTCAGGACGACTCTCTCCAGCGGCTGCAGAAGGAATCCGAGATGCTGCAACGGACCTACGCCCACTACTTCGACCAGACGGTCATCAACAACGAGATCGACGACACCATCCGCATGCTGGAGGAGGCCGTCGACCTGGTGTCACCACCTCCCAGTGGGTGCCCGTCTCCTGGGTCTACTGACACACGCTCAACGACAACGAGCTCGTCACCCTGAACGGCCATCGCCATCTCTGATCTGACACGGAGGCTAAACTTTGGTCACACCCCTTCCCCCCCCCCCCCCTCCCCACACGAGTCACGTCTCTGTCATCAGAATCATCTGTGTAGATAATCTGTTGCTGAAAAGAAGGGAAGAGAAGAAGCTAAAGACTCTGACGCCTCACTACAGAGACTTCTTCCCGCCCCGCCCCCTTTTTCTCAACACTCTCAAAGGCATATTGATGTGTACATATATACATATATATATAAATGATTACAAACTACGTGAATATGGTTCTGTCCTTACATAGTCGACGGCTGGGGAGTGGAGGGGCAGTGTGGTAGATATTTTGTACTTTTCTTTTCTAATCGATGGATGGGTGGTAATACTGGAAAGGCAATAGCGAGCATGACCATAAAGCAGTCTTATGTGGGTGCCTGTGTGTGAGTGTGTGTGTGTCGACCTTTAAAAGGCACTTCTTGTGGTACTGTGTCCTCCTCTCCGACATCCCCCTCTAATCTCCTCGGGCCTCTGTGACAAACAGGCCGAGCTTTGAAGCACATAAGAAGCTGCTACAAGTGGCGACAAGTGACTCCCTCAGCGACAAATGCAAGTTTGAGAGAAGCAAAAAAGCACAGGAAACTTGGCAGTTTCGCCCTCCCTCACCCTCTCCCGCTCTCTATTTATTTCTCTGGCCCTCTGTGCCTGTCAGTCTGTTGAAGGAGCACACTGCACCCCTTTGCGCTGTCCTTCCATATGTTGCTGTAGCCCGTTGTACCATGCTTCCTTTCCCCGACCTCGGATGTTTACATCTCTGTTTGCACAAAATGGACAATGAAGAAGACGTGTACGGCATCTCGTCACCTCACCGTTTTTTTTTTTTTTTACTTTCTCTTGCTATGTTTACCCCCCTGTCCCTCTGTACACAACATGCTAATGAGTGGACCTGGACTATCGTTCTTGTGGGCATGATGAGATATGAAAAAGCACCTGCATTGACCACTAAACACGGCTCCTGAGCTGGGGAAAAAAAAAACTCAACAGAAAGAAGAGAGACACGCCCCATCGGAGCCTCGGGGGATGAAGTCAGTAACACCTATGCACGACCCCTGGTCTCTGGCCAGGCGGGTCGCCACGACAACCACTTTCTTCTTTCCTAGGAAAAAAAACAAAAGTGAGCCGTGTTCATAGGAATGTGTGTGTGGGAGGGGAGGGCCTCATGTAGGTGGGATACATCCAATCTTAGAGCCACCGTTTTGGAACTGTTAACTGTTGTCTTTAAAAATATTAAAAAGGAGTATTCTTGTTTTTGAGGGAGGAGAAAAATAACTCTAAATTTTGTGTGTAAATGTTTCAATGGTGCGTACGTCATACGAGTTAATTACCACGAGCCAGTGTATATTAATCCTTCAAAAGAAGCTCGCTATGTGACATAACCTCTCTTCACGCTTCAGCTGAAGTGGCACCGAAGCCGCCACACCTGCATAACCTCAGTAGAAAAAAGGTACGCCGGTTCAGAGGTGTTAAAAAAATGACGTCGACGTGAATGATAAGCTGTACGGTGCGGCTGCTGCTGCTGCTGTTCCACTTCAGGTGAAGTGTGCTGTTCCACTTCAGGTGAAGTGTTTTTTCAAGTCCTGTGTAAATTACCTCTGCAAATGACTCAAGCAGCTCTTCTGTATGAAATGTTGTTCTTTTTTTGTTATTTCATTTTTCAAAAAAATATATTTCCTTTTACGTGTTTAAAGTAACCTGCCTCTTGACTCTTTCCTGATGTGTGCACGTGTGAAAAAAGACCCAACAAGCTGTCATGGCAGTTCAGAAAGACACTTGGCCCAGGATGCAGTTCCCAAAAAAGCCAATCGGGTTAGTAGAAGCAAAACGACATTATGCAAAGCATGTTGCATATCAAAACAAATTAGCATGGTTAAGAAACACCGTGAGCAAAACTGAAAACAAAGATAAAGAAACATTTTGTATTTTCACAAAGAGCAGGCAGTTTGGATTTTGAGGAACTGGTTAACTCAGAAAAATCCAGCAGATTCCTATTTTGTCATGTGAATGAGACATCTGTCATGGCTATCCCCCTCAACAGTTTAACACACAAGACCCTTAGCTTACATCACTGCAAAGTTCTGCAGAGTTATATGTTCACCAGTTAAAAGGAAGAATACAATATTTCTCTGCTGAATACTGCAGCATTGAAGTTTGAAAGAGAGAAGAACTGACTGAAGAAATGGTCACTGATACAGCTGAGTCAAACTGCCTTTGAAGCAAACATTCATGTGTGTCCTTCGACTCTTATTGAACATCTCACGGGTCCCTGGCAGGAATGGAACCACAGCAACAAACGTGAATCCTCCAAAAATACAAGAAAGTGCAATATTATTCATCTTTTCTTCCCCAGTTTTTACAGGAAAGCATAAATCCATTCAGTTAACATCTCAAAATTAAGTGCTCTTGGTTAAGTTTATGGTAACTATAATAATAAAGTCCTGCCTGCAAGACAACACTCGGGTACACAAATCTCAAGTATAGCAGCAGGCTGCAAAGCGCGACCTCTAGAGGCGGAACACTTGCAACGTACGTGTTCAAAACTACAAAAACTTTACAGAAAGTCAGTACACAATACTAAGTACCTCAAAGACATGTAGTTTGTGAATTTTTTTTAACTAATAGGAAATTAAACTGCAAAATTCAAGAAAAGCAAAGCACCAGCGACACAAACAC